GGTTAGGACAAGTCCCAGCTTAGGACAAGCCTACACTTGGATTTAAGACGCGCTGGTGTCAACCCCTATGGAAGGATCGTTATCCCTAAGCAAATGGCCTAAGCAAATGGGTCACGTTTGATGTGTCCAACGCAGTACCTTTCCATTGGCCATTAGATTTGACCTATCAGATCTGACCTTGACACATGTACACTTCTTGCAGGTTTCTGTTTGCAGGTTAAATGCCACCTTAATACTATAAAAGCAAGACCTGCACCACAAATGCCAAGATAGAGTTTAAATTTCAAACTCCCTTTCCTTTTATCTCCCCCTTTCCACACAAAACTTATCTTGCTTGAATTTGATCTGACTTGAGTGTTTAGAGGGTATGCCAAAGAAACCTCCAACGTCTATCTTTAGAAGCTTGTCATTTTACGTTCGCGCAAGTTCAACTTTACGTTCGACCAAAAAGAAAGAGAAAGAGAGAAAACCTCTTGCCCCATATTTGAAGCAAGAAAACTAGAGATGATTGATTTTAATAATTTGTTTTGCTTTTTGAAGTTCCTGAGAAAGAGAATCAAATTAGTGCAATCCACCTCGTTTACTCGCAAAAACCAGAAGCGCATAATTATTATACTCAAGAAAGAAGGAACATTTTATTATACTTACTAAGTAATTAAGGATTTTGGAACTAATTATTTTCTAACCAAAAAGATTTTGGGATAATATGTTGCTCTCGTGTCACTGAATCATCGTCCAACCCCCTACCAAGGATTAAGGAACAACAAATAAACTTTTTAATGGAATGTTCCAATCAACTTTAATTCATAAGCAAGAACATATTTTTTTTACATCAAATAATAAAAGATAATTTTCTTTAAAAAAAAAAAACTTCTCATCACTTATTTCAGAATTTAAATTTAAAATTTTTAATATTAAGACTTAAACTCTTAATTATTTGATAATATATAATTAATTGTCATGTTTAAATGTGGATATGCAAAATGTGAATACATATGTATGCATATTCACATTTAGACATAATTATATATTTTAATGTGTTAATTTTTTTTCTTTTGAACTCAGCCGATCTTTAAAATTAAAGCAAAGCCATACGGCATCTACATAAAAGATTTTGATCTTAGTGATAAGACCAAATGATAAAACAAATAAACCCAACTGGAGATAATAATCAGAGTAGATCAAATTCAACAGAGGACAAATAAAAGAAGGATAGTAAAAATCACAAGAACAATTTCTAAGGAATCTGATTTTTACAAATTCCTTTGATCGACCGTTCCAACTGGACATCCTTCAATCTACTCTTGAAGATGAGTTCACTCTCCAAGATGCTATGGCAAGGAAATCAAGGCAAGTAGCACCAACCCCTAATTTTGTTTTGTTGACTTGTTGGCCATTGGATCTGAGAAAAAAAAAAAAAAAAACATTAAAGGAAGGCCACTAGAGGGGCCACAAAACAAACCAATAGACCACTCAAGGTGACCATCTGACACAAGAGCACGAGAGACTGACTCCACTGTGCTTAAGAAGCCTGAGGGCTTCCTAGCACCCAAAAGCTTGTGAAGCCGAAGGCTTTCAAGCAACAAAAAAAACTGAACTTGGAGAAGGTGTAGTCAGAAGAAGGAGAGTACTAGAGTAGAGAGAAAAAGTCGTGAAAAGTGTTAATCTTTTTATTATTTTTTGAGTAATAATAGAGGAACAGATTTTTTTTTACAAATTTTTTATTTTTTAAATAAAATACTATAGTAATTATTTGGTGTTTTGAATCAGTACTTGCATCCATCAAACCATGCATCTCTTCAATTCAATTAAAGGTAAAATATTTCGGTTCTCCTTAAATAAGATATCGAATTAAAATCTTGTGTTGAGATATCGAATTAAAATCTTGTGTTGAGAGAACTTCTTCCCTTATAAGATCCAACGTAACTTGATTCGAGATTAATCGAAATTCAATGTAATTACCAGATATTGAGAGATTACTATAAAAAAATTAAAAATAAAATATCAATTATGAGGT